GTGTAAGGGGATAAAAATGACATTCAAGATCAACTCCTGCACAACCCTCAAGTCTTTCTGAAATTAGCAAGATCGCTACTTGGAATATGGTCTGATATCCCCCTTCAACAGCAACGAGTCCCAGATCAACCATTCTTTCCACTTCCCGAGGACTCCTGGGAGCAGCTGTGTATACAACTTAAAAGAAGAAAAACTCAGATGTGTTGGCATGTGGCCTCCAAATTTTAACAGATAAAAAGGCACAGCGGGGGCGCCTGGGTGGCTCAGTTGGTTGAGCGACTGCCTTCGGCTCAGGTCATGATCCTGGAGTCCCGGGATCGAGTCCCACATCGGGCTCCCTGCTCAGCAGGGAGTCTGCTTCTCCCTCTGACCCTCTTCCCTCTCATTCTCTCTCTCTCAAAAAATAAATAAAATCTTAAAAAAAAAAAAAAAGGCACAGCGGATAAAATGTGCAGAAGCGTAGCACCTGGGAGAGGGCGGGGGGAGGGGGGCGCTGGACGCCATGTTCTGTTTTGTGCTGCGTTCTCTCTGAAAACTCATCAAGTTTGACTTTGGATTTGTGTCCTATTCTGAATTCAGGTTTTACGTCAATAAATTAAAAGGAAAAAAAGTTGAGGGCGCCTGGGTGACTCAGTCGGTTGGAAGTCGGCCTGAAGGTCATGATTAGGTCATGATCCCGGGGATCAATCCTGACATAGGGCTCTCTGCTCAGTGGGGAGTCTGCTTCTCCCTCTCCCTCTGCCCGCCCCCCAGCTCATACTCTCTTTTGCTCTCTCAGATAAATAAAGTCTTTAAAAAAATAAGAGGAAAAAAAATTCTAAAAGAGTTCTCCAACTCCACCACCCGCAACAATGTAGTCAGCGAGAACATAGCAGTGGCTGTCCTTGTCTGAGGGCCCACGTCCGCCTCATCCATGTGACGCCCACCTGAAATGAGTCACCTCCAGGGCAAGAGAGAGCGGTTGGTAGGCAAAAAATGCCCTTGGGGTGGGCGCCTGGGTGGCTCAGTTGGTTAAGCGACTGCCTTCGGCTCAGGTCATGATCCTGGAGTCCCGGGATCGAGTCCCGCATCGGGCTCCCCGCTCAGTGGGGAGTCTGCTTCTCCCTCTGACCCTCTTCCCTCTCGTGCTCTCTATCTCTCATTCTCTCTCTCTCTCAAATAAATAAATTAAAAAAAAATTAAAAAAAAAGTGCCCTTGGGGTTCCGATCTCAGCTCCACCACTCCCAAGCTAGAAGGGCAGGCCATGTGTACACGGGTGCCTCAGTGTTCTCATCTCTGAAATGGGTGCAATGAGAAGGCCTATCTGCTAGCGTCAGCATGGACTGAAGAGGCTCACACATGTAAATCCGTTGGAGGGGTGCCTGGCACTCCATGGGTGCTCCGTGGGCGTGACTCCTGCCCCCTTCCAGCAGCCACCAGACTTGGAGGCCCCCCAGGGAAGGCTCAGGCTGTGAGCCAGGCTCAGAAGCAGCAAGACAGGACCACCCCCGCCTGCATTCCTGGAAAATATCAGAAGCCAAACAACCGTTTTCCACCTCCCCACCGACCTGCCTGAGCCCTGACAGTGGCTGCACCAGCTTTGCCCGACTCCCAGGACCGGCCCCCCAGTGTGTTCCGCATCCACCCTGCCCTGCCCAGCTCCCACCCCTACCTGCCACAAACCCGGCTCTCATTCCGCCCCACCCTCCACGGCCTCCAGGGCAGAGTCCACCGCGCAGCCCACAGCGTGGACGCCTTGTGACGAAAGTACCAACAGGGGTGGGGGCCTCGCTCTGCCACCTGCCCACTTGTGGAGCCCACTTAGGTCAGTTTCTTCAGACCCAGAACGTGGTCCTCCCCATGAGCAGGAGCTCAGTATAACAACATAATAACGCATAAGAATAAATAAATAAAATTGGGCAGAACTTATTTTTTCTCTTCCTCTTCTTAACACATGTTTAACCACATCTGGCTTATGCCCATTCCCCCCTCTCTCCTCTCCCACAGTCTCCAGCGTCTCTCCGTGCGTCGGGCAAATATTCGTTGAGCATCTACTATGTGTTAAGACCTGTGGTAGGTGCTGTTGCAGCCCAAGATGCACTGATCCCCTGCCCTCGCAGAGCTCACAGTCCAGTTGGGGGAAACCGATAATAGATGAGAGACTGATCCACTGCAGAGAATGAGAAGTTCATAAAGAAAATGAAACAGGGTGTGGTAGTGAGGAACCGGGGAAAGGCTACTGAGGAGCCAGGGAGGCCTCTGGGAGGAAGCGAATGGGAGCTGAGACCTGAAGGAGGGATGAGAGGGATTCCGGTGCAGACCTGGGGGAAGAAAGTTTCAGGCAGAAGGAATAGCCCGTGCAAACGTCCTGGCGTAGGACAGAGGCTGGCATGTGGGAGGAACAATGAGGAGGCCCGTGTGGCTGCAGCAAAGTGAGGAAAGGGGAGAGAGGGACAGGGGTTCAGGACGTGCGGTGGGCCTTGGGGCCAGCGGAGAGGTGAGAGCCCCGGAGGGCTGTGGGCAGAGGAGGGCGGGGCCTGACTCAGGGGCTCAGGGGCGCCCTCTGGCGGCTGCTTCAGGGAGGACGGACGCGGGAGCAGGGGCAGGAGCCTGGGACCTGGGTGGTGACCACCTGCTCCGGCAAGCAGTGACCGGGGGCTGGACCAGGTGGGGATCTCAAGGAAGGTGGGGAATAGTTGGATTTGTGGATAATTTGGAGAAAGCGAGAGGATCAGTAGGAGGCAAGGAGGGCACCTAGGCTTTGGTCGCAAATACTTGATTCAGAAAATGTGGAAGAGCTGGTTTGTGATTAGGGCGGAGAAATCAGAGGTGTCTCAGACACGACTCATTTGATGGGTCCTCCCTGTGGGCCCCTGTCCCCTCCCCGCCCTCACCTCCTCCCACTCCCCCTCGCTCCCTCCCCTCCAACCACACTGCTCCTTAAATATATCACACTTGATCCTGCCTCAGGGCCTTTGCATTGGCTGTTCCCTCAGCCTAGGGCACCCTTCCTCAGATGGCTAGCTCCTTTGAACCTCCTTTAGGTCTCAGCTCAAATGTCACTTCCTCATCAAGGTCAACCTTGGCCACCCTGCCTAAAACTGAAGCCCATTCCCGCACACTCCTTGCTTTATTTTTCTCCTTCCAACTTCTCCTTACCTGACACTATAGGTTTCCCAACTTACTTTGTTGAGAAAGCATCGCTTCCCACCTGAGTCAGCACTGCTAAAACAGGGATGTTCATTTGTCTTGTTCACAGCTGCATTAATGACTGGCACACAGGTGGTGCTTAATAAATACTGATCGACAGGATCAATCAATGAATGGACAGAACAGCACCTGGCACACAGTAAGCGCTCCATAAATGTTTCCTGCTGAATCCTCTCCCCAGCAAGACAAAAAGTCTAATCTGCTCCCACCAGGACTGGCACAGACTCGAGGCGCCGTTCAGTCCTTTTGGCTGATTAAGAAATGTTACAAGACACGGAAGGCAAAACATAGCCAGACTGTCCCTGAAAAATATGCAGGAGACCGAAGGGACATTTGTTCACTACGTGTTTACTGAGCACCTACTATGCAGCGGGCACCGGATGAAGCACATGGCAACCTTGGAAGTTAGGACTATTTTGTGCACATCAGAAAGGGAGGCACAGAGAGGTAGAGCCACTTGCCCTGGGTCACACAGGTGGAAAGTGAGGGGGCAGGGATTTAAACCAGGCAGCCTGGCTCCAGGGTCCCCGCTCTTATTCACCGAGTCCCGACTCTGTGGGGCCCCTTCCGGTGCCTGGATCTGAGGAATCCTCAAGCCAGGCCACCGGAGAAGCTGCTGGATGTCCACTCTATGCATCGGGCACACATCACCGTGACCATTCACGGTTTTGCTTATTGTCTTGACTGAGGACACTGTGAGGGCACTACTCTGCCCCTGGTTCTTCCTAAATGTTTGCTGAAAGATGGATGCGTGCCCCTATTCAGAGGAGGAAACAGAGGTCCAGGCAGGAGCCCCCTGAACCCACCTGCCCACCCCCACAGGCCAGAACCCACACCCCGACCTCCAGCTTGCCTGGGCGTCACAGCAGAGCCCCCTCCCCAAGCTCCTACTTCAGCCACAGGGAAAGGGAAGAAACGGGGGGGGGGTTGCCCTGAGGATCTCCTGGGGCCACCCAGATCTGAGTGGTGACGGCAGAGGCTCCTAGGCGGGTAACAACCAACCCCAAACCCCACCATAAGGGGTGGAGGTGTGAGGCCTGGAGATTCTCGGATCTCCGCTGATGGGGGCTCGAGCCCAGGGAAGCACGCTCCTGCCGCGGGAGAGGGGTCCCGGGAGCCCCTGGAAAAAGTGGATTCTGGGCCGGAAGGGTCTGGGGGGAGGGGCGGCGCAGGCAGGGCAGGAAGAACTGGGTGCTGGGACAGAAGGCTCCAAGCTCTGGGAAGAAATCAGAAACGTGTGTGTGTGTGTGTGTGTGTGTGTGTGTGTGTGTGTGTGTGTGTG